TTTGAATCAATGGGCGTGATTTAAAAAAACATTGTGGGCTAGATTAAAAAGAGTAGGGGCAGTTGACAACAAAAAGGGTGTCCATAGATAATACCCTTATTCAGTTCTTAATAATAATGCTAGGATGTAACTGAAGAATTATGATATGATTTTCATTAATCAAAAGAGTTGTGATTACATGTATATATATAAGGGGAGTCTCAATCCTAATCAGGGTAGGAGAGACACAAGTAAGAAAACCTATACTAATAAGGTAAGGGAATAATACAATATATTAAATATATACAATATATTTAACATGCTCCCGGCTACGTCGGATGTGGAGGAGGTCTGATTCCCAAGCTTTGTCTGAAGTCCAGAAATAATAAAGAAGGCAGTCCCTTAGTGAATATGTCAGCATACTGCGAAGACGAGGGAACGTGGAGAACGCGTACATGGCCTAATGCTACTTTGTCACGGACAAAGTGAATATCAACTTCCACGTGCTTGGTGCGCTGGTGCTGCACGGGATTTGTCGAGAGATACACAGCACTGACGTTGTCGCAAAAAACAAGGGTGGCACGTCGAAGGGGTTGCTGCAGCTCAAGAAGAAGATTCCGGATCCAGCTCATCTCTGCTACGGCGTTGGCCACGGCGCTGGAACGAGAAGTGGTAGCCTGGCGCTTGGAGGACCAGGAGACTAGATTGTCACCGAGAAAAACACAGTATCCAGAGGTGGAACGTCGGGTGTCTGGGCAACCGGCCCAGTCAGCGTCGGAGTATGCCTGCAGGGAGTCGGTGGAGGATCGTGCCAGGTGGATGCCATGGGTGGAGGTGCCACAAAGATAGCGCAGGACACGCTTCATGGCTGTGAGATGAGCATCACGGGGGGCATGAAGGTGTAGGCAAAGCTGCTGGACGGCATAAGTGATGTCAGGGCGAGTGAATGTAAGGTACTGTAGAGCTCCAACAACAGATCGATAAAGAGTAGGATCGGGGAGCAGAGTGCCTGATGAAGAGGAGAGCTTTGCCTTTGTGTCCACTGGGGTGGAGATGGGGCGACAAGATACCATCCTGGCCCGCTCAAGTATGTCATGAGTGAACTGTGTCTGGTGGAGAAAGAGGCCACTAGTCTTCCTGTGTACGTTGATGCCAAGGAAGAAATGTAGGTCCCCCATGTCTGTCATAGCAAATTCGGCCTTAAGCCGCTGGATGAGATGCTGGAGAAGTGCTGTGGAAGATGCTGTGAGAACAATATCATCAACGTACAGGAGTAGGTAGGCAGTGCCCATGACATGAGAGAAGACAAACAGTGATGTGTCCGACTTGCACCCTCGAAACCCAATGGTCTGAATGAAACTGGCAAATCTGTGATACCACGATCGCGGTGCCTGCTTGAGTCCATAGAGAGCCTTCTTGAGTCGACAAACATAGTGAGGACGAGCTGGATCCTGAAACCCAGAAGGCTGACTGGCGTAAACTGTCTCCTGTAGCTGACCATGGAGGAAGGCATTTTTGACGTCTAGCTGGTGAATGGGCCATCCTCTGGACAGAGCAATGCTAAGAATGATGCGGACTGTAGCAGGTTTGACAACGGGGCTGAAGGTCTCGTCGTAGTCGACGCCAAA